TATTGAGGACCTACTACGCATTCTTCCAGATGCAGAACAGAGGTGACAATGCAAAAATCCCTGCTCTCATGGGAGACTGGCTTGTTTCAAAAACAGCATCCTTATCTATGTAATGAGGGCAATAAATATATCTATCTCATCAACTTTTAGAGGGGACTAAATGTATTAATGCACGCAGATCACTTAGAACCAGGCCTGGCATATAGCTAACGTGCAATACTTGTTGGCCATGATCATGGAGCAAATCTCAGCTTCCATACTTACTATGGGACATTGGGCAAGTTCTTTACTTTCTCTGTGGCTTAGTTTTTCCATCTGTAAGATGGGATAGCAGTAGTTACTAACCATATGATTATAATGAAGGTTTGGTAAGCTAACATATATGCAGTGCTTAGAGTGGCTGTCACATGATTCTCAGTGGGTTTTAGCTCGTATTTTGGGGACATAGGCAAGAAACGTGTTAATATTGGCTCGAAGAAAGCATGGCAGATAAAAACCCGACTGGATTTCCACATGCGTGTCAGTGACAAGCAGCCTGGATTAAAGATCGGAGACATCACTGCGGGAAGCACTGCACTGTCCCCCAAGGGAAATGACAACCTGCAGAAAGAATGAGCACAAAGCTTAGGGAGGTGGGGACGGTGGCCTGAGGAAAGAGAAGAATGGCAGCGGGTGCCCAGCATCTCTGTGCGGTAACATTTTCCCCAGGAAAGGCCCAGGGGCTCTCGTGTGGCCATAATCACCTGTTCCAGATCTCGGAAGCCCAGCTCCTTGTTCTTTGAGAGCTCTGCTCCCTTTGGCCTCTGTCTGTCTCCGTTAGAGCCTAATCATATTTGAAAGCAGTTTTTATCTCTGATTATTCATCCGTATGTGAGGAGCTTACGTGTCTAAGCCACCACTTCCATCACATCCAAGCATGTGGCCCTGTGAACACACATAGGCCTAGAGCCGGCCAGGAGAGCATCCCCACCCCCATCCACGCAGGGAGGTTTTAGGGAATTAGAGGGGACCGGCTTTGGGGGCGGGCAGGGTGAAGCAGACAATGATGGCGTCCAGACTGAGCAAAACAAATATGAGAGAACTAATAGCAGGACCCCAGCCAGCCGGTAAATCGATAGGTGGGCTTGTCCTAAAGGCATGGCTTCCCAAACTTTAATAAGATGGTGTCTGTGAAGATTACATATTAGCTTAGAGAACAATATTTCATTTTCGCCCGCTCTTTCTAATCTGCCAGAGATGAGGTGCCGGGCTGAGTTTAATGCTTACACACGCATTTCAGGTTAATTCTCTGTTAAATCATGGTGGGACTTAGAGCTAAATTTTCCACTCTTCCTAGGGTCACGGGTGCTTACACGGGGCCGGGAGCCAGCCGAGGGGGTGGCTGAGGACAAACTCCGGGGGCACGAGGCTATAAGAAACATGTAACCATTTGACTGCCCTTGTTTCTCCTACTGATGTTGGTCTTTTGTATTTTATACAGTGTTGAGATACAGCTCAGATACTGTGCAATTTACCCATTTAAAGTGAACAATCCAGTGGCTTTTAATATATGTGCAGAGTTGTGCAACCATCATCACAATCAATTTCAGAACAGTTTCATCCCCAGACACCGTAGCTGTTAGCAGTCACTCCCCATTTCTTGTCAACCTGCCAGCCCTAGGCAACCCCGAATCTACTTTCTGTCTCTGCAGATTCTCCTGCTCTGGACACTTCTTAGAACCGAAATCCTACAATATATGGTCTTTTGTGACTGGCTTATTTCACTTAGCATAATATTTTCAAGGTTCATCCGTGTTGCAGCATGCATCACTACTTCATTCCTTTTCATTGCCAAATACTATTCCACTGTATGGACAGACCACATTTTATTTATCCATTCATTTGTTGATGGACATTTGGGTTGTTTCCATTTTTTGGCTATTATGAACATTAATTTACCGGTTTTCGTGTGGACATATGTTTTGATTTCTCTTGGGTATATGCCTAGGAGTGGAATTGCTGGGACCAGCCTGGTGGTGTACCAGTTAAGTTTGGATGCAACACTTCGGCAGCCCGGGGTTTGCCAGTTAGAATCCTGGTTGTGACCTAGCACCACTTGTCAAGCCACGCTGTGGCAGGCGTCCCACATATAAAATAGAGGAAGATGGGCACAGATGTTAGCTCAGGGCCAATCTTCCTCAGCAAAAAGAGAGGAGGATTGGCAGCAGATGTTAACTCAGAGCTAATCTTCCTCAAAAAAAAAAAAAAAAAAAGAATGGAATTGCTGGGCCATTGGTTTCTGTGTTTAACATTTTGAGGAACTGACAGACTGTTTTCCAAAGTGGCTGCACCATTTTACATTCCCACCAGTGCTATATTTCTCTACATCCTCACCAACATTTGTTATTATCTTTTTTTGATTTTAGTTATCCTAGTGGGCATGAAGTGGTATCTTGTTGCGGTTTTGACTTGCATTGCCCTAATGGCTGACGATGTAGAACATCTTTTCATGTGCCTATTGGCCCATGTATATCTTCTATGAAAAAACATGTATTCAGATTCTAAGCTCATTTCATAATGGGGTTATTTATCTTTTTGTTTTTGAGTTGTAAGCGTTCTTTATATATTCTGGAGGCAAGTCTCTTATGAGATATATGGTTTGCAAATATTTTTCTCACTCTGTGGGTTGTCTTTTCGCTTTCTTGATGGTATCATTTGCAGCACAAAATTTCCAATTTTGATGAAGTCTAACATATCTATTCTTACATCATTTGTGCTTTTGGGGTCATAGCTAGTGAGATTTTGCCTAATGAAGATTTACTCCTGTGTTTTCTTCTAAGAGTTTTCATAGGTTAGCTTGTTTAGGTCTATGATCCTTTTTGAATGAATTTTCGTGCGTGGTGTGAGGTAGGGGTCAAACTTCATTCTCCGGTGTGTTCTAGCACCATTTGTTGAAAGTGATGTCTCTGGCTTTTGTGGCCATCCCAGTTAATGGCAACTCTATTGTCCGGTTGTTCAGGCCAAAATTCATTCTTGACTCTTTTTTCTCCAATTCCCAAATCTTGTAGGCTCTACCTTCAAAACAGATGTAGACTCTGATTGCTTCCTACCGCCTCTGCTACTGCCGCCCTGGTTCCAGTAACCATCTGCTCCGTGTGGATCATTACAGAGACCTCCTAACTTGTCTGCCTGCTTCTGCCCTTAGATCTTATTACATATTTTTATTTAAAAGCATTCATAATTCTAGTTTCCTATGTCCATTTATTGTGGGCCTTATGTCCCTTCAGTTGTCAATGTCAAGAATCAATAGTATGGGTCCCATGTTATGCCCAGACTTCTGTATATACAAAATCGAGTAATGTGAGTTGTTTCCTGCTACAACATCTTCCTCAGGGACAATACACAACTGTTGCAAATGCCACACTGGTTCCTGCACAGGTCCAGAGCCACCAATTGGCATACAAAAAGAAGAAAGAAATAGACGGTCAGCACAGTGCGGAAATGATGCTATGCTATGCAAGGGTCTATGGCATTCACTCTATCTGAAGGGAGTGTTTGACAAGTGAGTTAATTTGTCCTTTCTCTTGCCTCAGCGCTCCTGCCACTCAGACCATCCCGGCGCCCTGTAGCAGTGCCCGCCTCTGCCCTTGACATCAGCACCACACACAAACCCTCAAGGCACTGGGATGCAGTCGCCTTCTATTTTGAGGACAGAGGTCAAGATGCAGGAGAAGCGTTTCTCTGGGGCCTGAATGGTGTTACTCATGAGAGTGGTATTTTGGGTGGGCCTTCAAATGTGTGTGTGTGAAGAGGAGGAAGCGCTTCAAGGCCAAAACACCTGGACAGCACCTCGGAATCCATAAACCATCTCCTTTTGAGGCTTGCGGGAACTTCTCTCCATATTTCTTAGCGGGGCTGTATTTGCTCACTTCTGACTGAACTGTTCTGTGAATAATCCTAAGAGCAGAGACTCCTAGGGGTTAAAGAGTGGTAGGCTTTTCTATTTTATTTAAGGATACAAGTGTCATTTTCCTAATAATGGTTGGTTTTGGTTTTGTGGACCAAAAGCACTTCCACAGATACATATTCTCAAATGTTCTTATCCACAGATAAAGAACTAGGCAAATGCTGTGGTGTTTGGATTAAAAAAGTCAACAAACCACCCAACCTCACTTGATCAATTTTATTTGAGCTATTAGCAGAGAATATGTGGCACTAGAGACTACTTAAATCCAGTAATAACTGAATGTTAAGCAAACAGATCATCAATTATTAAAATGTAGCTGCTATTAACGTAATCCTTTACATTTCACTAACATCAGCCTTCGGAGGGGCATGTAAAGCCAGTTAAAAGCATCTGATATGCAAAATAAGAATGCAACCATGTTCCCTTTGCTAAAATTCTTGGAGGATCTCTCTCTAAATTTTCCACTTAGGAGTGGGTGTTGTGATTGGGAGACAGAGGAGTAAAATCCAGTCCAATGTAGAAATTTCTGATCAAGAAGCTAGCAAAAGCAGTATTTTGAGGGCTTAGGGCTCTTGAAAAACCAAAATTTACCTTTAATACAGGATCTAGATAACTTTCTTTATTTGCCAAACTCAGGACAACTTCGTTTTGTGAACACATTTTCTTTTACCTAGTTTTTGGAATATAGATAGTACATCCACATGGTTAAAAAAACTAAAAAAAAAAAAAAACATTACAGTGAAAACTCTTTCTGCCGTCTGTCTCTACCCACACTGCCAGAGTTTTATGTATCTGTCCAGAGTTCCTATGCATATATCAATAAATACTAATTTCAACATTATTTCACACATTTTTGTACCTTGGGTTTTTTGTTTTTGTTTGTTTGGTGAGGAAGATTGGCCCTGAGCTAACATCTGTTGCCAATCTTCCTCTTTTTGCTTGAGGAAGATTCACCCTGAGCTAACATCTGTGCCAGTCTTCCTCTGCTTTGTATGTGGGATGCCACCACAGCATGGCTTGATGAGCGATGTGTAGGTTGGAAATGGGATCTGAACCTGTGAACCCTGGGCCAGCAAAGCAGAGTGTGTGAACTTAACCACCACGCCACCAGGCTGGCCCCTTGTTCTTGTTTCTTATTTACTAGTATACCCTGGAGATCCATCATACCGTATCAGCACACAGAGAGCATTCTCATTCTTTATTTCCAAACACAGAGTACCCTATTATCTATTTATATATACATCTCCTACTTTATTTAACCAGTCGACTCCAGAAGGACGTTGGGTTGTTTCCAGCTCTTTGGTCGGCTAAACACGCTGCAACGAATAACCTTATATATGCATGATTTTACGTACATTTAGGATACATTTCCGGAAGTGGAATTGCTGGGTCAAATTGTATATGTGTTTGTGATTCTGATAGATATTGCCAGATTGTCCTCCATGGGGGTGATGGCCATTTGTGCTCCCACGGGTAACGAGTGAGAGTGTCTGTGTCCCCAGGGCTGGTTCGTGTTCTGAAGAACCCTCGAGTGGAGACTATCCCATTCAACATCAACTTGGTAGGAGAGACTAGCCTCTTTTACTCCTTATTTCCCTATCACTCTGCGACCTTTCACTTCTTGCCTCCAGCTGGCTGCAAGATTGCAGCCAAGTTATTTAAGCACTTGTGCCTTGGTTTCTCCATCTGTAAAATGGGGCTATAAGAGTACCTACAGCCTATGGTAGTTGGGAGAGTTCCATGAGCTAATGCACACAAAGCGTGGAACACGGTTCAGACAAAGTAACTGCTTAGAAATGCTGTCTGTTATTACGTGGGTCAAATAAATAATGCCACTTAGAGATTGCGCCATCTCTGTCTCTATTAGGCCACTGTGTGCTAACATCTATGTTATAAAACTACAAGGGCACCGAACATTTTCTTGGAGGAAGACGAATCTTGGTTCCAGGTAAACGAACGCTCACCCTTGGGTGTAGCTGGAGGTTGCCAGTGGAAAAGAGAGCTGAGGAGGGTGGTGCAGGAGCAGACATTCCACAAAGATTTGCAAATATTTTCTCCCAGTTGGTGGGTTGTTTTTTTCATTTTGTTGATGGTTTCCTTTGCCATGTAGAAGATTTATAGTTTGATGTAGTCCCATTTGTTTATTTTTTTCCTTTAGTTTCCCTTGCCTCAGGAGACACGATATTCAAAAAGACACTGCTAAGATCAATGTCTAAGAGTGTACTGGCTTGTTTTCGTCTAGGAGTTTTATGATTTCAGGTCTTACATTCAAGTCTTTAATCCATTTTGAGTTAATTTTTGTGTATGGTGTGAGATAATGGTCTACTTATATTTGCAAATCTTACATCCAATAAGGGTTAATTTCCAAAATATATAAGGAACTTGTACAACTCAACAACAACAAAACGAACAACTCAATCAAAAAATGGGCAGAGAATGTGAACAGACATCTTTCCAAAGAAGATACACAGTTGGCCAACAGGTACATGAAAAGATGTTCAATACCACTAATTATCAGGAAATGCAAATCAAAGCTACAATATCACTTCATACCTGTCAGAATGGCTATCATTAAAAAGATAAGAAGGGCCAGTCCTGGTGGCCTAGTGGTTAAGTTTGGCACACTCCACTTCAGTGGCCTGGGCGCAGACCTACACCACTCATCTGTCAGTGGCCATGTTGTCATGAGGGCTCACAAACAAAAAGAGGAAGATTGTGAGCAGATGTTAGCTAGGGCAAATCTTCCTCAGCAAAAAAAGAAAAAAGATCAGAAGGAAAAAGTGTTGGAAAGGATGTGGAGAAAAGGGAACTTTCATACACGTGGCTGATGGTAATGAAAACTGATGCAACCACTCTAGGAAAGAGTATGGAAAGTTCTCAAAAAATTAAAAATAGAAATACCATATGATCCAGCTGTTCTACTTCTGTTTTATCCAAAGAACTTGAAAACACTAATTTCAAAAGATATATGCACGCTGTGTTCTTTAAAAAAAATCTTTCTTTCTTTTCTTTTCTTCTCCCCAAAGCCCCCCAGTACATAGTTTACATTCTAGTTCTTCTATGTGGGACCCCGCCTCAGCATGGCTTGATGAGCGGCGCTAGGTCCACACCCAGGCTCTGAACTGGTGAAACCCCAGGCTGCTGAAGCAGAGCACGTGAACTTAACCACTTGGCCATGGGGCCGGCCCCCCTGCACCCCTATGTTCATTTCAGTGCTATTTACAATAGTCAAGATGTGGAAACAACCTAAGTGTCCATCAATGGATGAATGGATAAAAAAGATGTGGTGTATATATATATATACATATGTATACACTGGAATACTTCTCAGCCATAAAAACGATGAAATCGTGCCATTTGTGACAACATGGATGGACCTTGAGGGTATTATGCTAAGTGAAATGAGTCATAGGGAGAAAGACAATTACCTATGATTTCACTCATAGGCGAAGGATGGAAAAACAAACAAACACATAGATAAGAGGAACAGATTGGTGGTTGCTAGAGAGGAAGTAGGAGAGGGGAGATGAAAGGGGTAAAGGGGCGCATATGTATGGTGACGGATGGAAGCTAGACTCTAGGTAGTGAACACGATGCAGTCTACAGAGAAGCTGAAATATAACCATGTACACCTGAAATTTTGTAATGTTATAAACCAACGTGGCCTCAATAAAAAAAAATTTCTGTTGTGAGCCTTGGACAGCAGGACACAGGACAGCAGACCTGTGTTTAAGAGGGTTTTGGCACCAAAACCCCTGTCTCCAGGAGGAGGTTCTGAACTGCGTGTGAGAGGTTCTGGGGCCTAGAGTCTTACCAGGACAGCCACAGTTCTAGAATCCCGAGTAGTGGGGAGGGGTTGGAGAAAGAGCGACTCTCCTGGGCCAAGCAGAGCTGGCAGCACAGCTTTATGGTTGAAGATCCTTCTCCTGGAGTCAGATAGCCCTGGGTTCAAATCCTGGCTCTACCACTTGCTAGGAGGGGGACCTAGAGTGCATTCACATTTCTGATCCTCACTTCCTCATCTGTCACGGAGGATAAATGGCACCGTAGAGGCATTCCGGGCTGCTGATATGCTCACAGGGAGGCTGTGAGGATGACATGAGGTAACAGTTCTGAGGCAGGACCACCCTGCCAGGTACACACTAAGCACCTGATAAATGTCAGCAACTGTTAAGGACATCACATGAATAGGGCTTCACAAGCTCGGTGTCTCTGGCATACAAGAGGGACCCTGAGGGGGTGTACATTAACAGATTCAAGTCATAAAACCAGAAAAGGCCCATTTGGATGGATGTACAGTTATAGAGAGGAAAAAATGCCTCTTAGCATGCATGTTGTTTGCAACAAAGCAAAACGAATTTGTAAGCGTCTTATTGCAGATGCAGGGGAGGGAGAGGCTGAAAAATTTCCTGTAGTCTTGAGGCAGCAAATGGAAAACGAGTTCTATGGTACTGATTGCTGCTAATTTAAGACATATAAAAACCACCGATAACTCTTTAGTGTTCGCTGCTTTTTTGTGTTATTTACTAAAGGTAAAATAGCCGTACTTTTCCACACACTATCTTTATCCCTTTATCTCATTTCCATATTAAGGACATATGTTCTTTAAACACTCCTACTTATTTTTTGTCGACTCACCGCTCTCTATAAGAACTTAATCCTAGTACTTGAGAATCATCAACTGTGTGACTCTCCTTGTCTGGAAGGCCCTGATCTGTCTTCTACGCTTGGCCAGCTCCTTCTCCAGCCATCCCCTTCTTTGTGAAGTAATTTCCCAGTATCACTAGCCATCGATGGCCCTTTCTTCTTGGTTCATGGGAATCTGCTCGATGTTTCTTCTATAGCATTTTTCATATTGGGCCCTAGTTCTTTGTGTACACATCTCTCGCTCCCTTTACACTGGGAAATCTTGGAGTCAAGGATTGCGTCCCTCCCTCCCTTTCTACCTTCCAAGTTCATCAAACATGTAAGTGTCAGGCCCTATGACAGGGTCTGTGGTACAGAAATGAGTTCGACACAATCCTCGGTGTAGAGGGGGAGATCTCAGCACAGTGTGGGAGCAATGAAAGGACCAGGCACTGAGCCAACACCTTACCCACATTTTCTCATTTCATCCTCTGAATGACCCTACATTCACCCATGATTTCTCCCATTTTACTGTTGAAAAGCCTGAGCCAGAGAGGAAATGTAACTTGCCAAAGAACATAGGCTAGCAAGTGGCCACAAATTGGTGTCAAGCTGAGGGTCAGGAGACCACCTGGAGGAGGCAGTGTTCAGCAACGTCGTGACTGTGAGAATGGTTTGGCCGGGTGAAGGAGTGCAGGAAAGGAATTTCGGGTGGAGGCATCAGGCTCTGCGAAGTCTTGGGGTAAGACAGCACTGCTCTTTGGGGGGACTGCAAGAGTCTTAGTCATCTCTACATCCCCAATATTTGCACAGAGCATGTCACATAGTAGGTGCTTACTAAATATTTGTTGCAAGAATGCATTCCTGCTGATGAAATCCCCAGGACTTGTAGCTCAATTCTGGGTTCAAGTTCATGGCATTCCTCGGGGTTTTTTGGTAAGTTCTCACTTTTGCTGAGGTCCTGGGTATGCATGGACCACTGTCCCATCATGGGAGAGTGTGTCCCCAAATTGTTCTCATTCAACCCCTAGAAATACAGTGCAGAGGCTTCTTCCCCTACCTTCACCCTTTAGATGTCCAGGGAGCGTGCCCACATCTACCTCAGTCGGATTGAGCAAAGCTTTGAACATAGATGGGCAATTGCTGGGTGGACAGCTGGTGAGGTCCCTTGACTGAGGCAATCTACAGGCCACATAGCTCTGGGCTTCTTGAAAACTGCCCCTTACAGATGGGAGTGTGGGCACAGGAACAGGCATCTTAGGGAGGCTGCTCATGGTCTGGCCATCCTTTTGAACTCTTCCGTCGCTTTCTCATAGCTCTGAGGAATATCTGTCTAGTCTGAGTGGGGATGCGGTAGATGGAGAGTCTCTTCCCTTCCCCCTGCCTTTGCTCAAGGCTCTCTGTCAAGGACAGGAATGTTCTTGCTTTCACGGCATGGCGGTTAATAGTAAGGACTCTGGCGTCAGGTTGCTTGAGGTTCGCGTGCTGGCTCTGCTACTTACCAGCCTTGTGACTTTGGGCAAGATGTTAGTCTCTGTACCTCAGTTTCCCCACCTATAAAATGGAGTTAATAACAATATCTGTTTCATAGGACTTTAGCAAGAATTTACAGGAGTTAAAACATTTAAAGCCCTGGGGACAATACCTGGCACATCGTGGGTACAATGTATGTGATGATGATGATGATGATGAAGATGACGACGATGGCGATGATAGTGACGATGATTAAAATTACTCTATACAAACCCCATCCTCTCTTCTGGTTCTTTGTACTAAATGTTAGTGGCCCAAAACCCTAAGCAAATGGAAATTAGTTCTTCTTTTCCTCGAAGACAAAGCGAGCTTAGACTTTAAGTTTATAATTTCAATTTCAAGTTTAAGCTGTGTAGGCAATAAACAAAGAGAAGAAAAACGAAATCATTACATTTCACTTTAAAATAGTAGGACTGTTCACAGAAATGTTACACTCAAAGTTGTTTGAGTTGATATATTACTAAAAACTGGAAGAAACATAATCTAGTCCATTTACTGAAATTACAATGGGTAAACTGAGGCTCAGAGAAAGGAACTGACTAATGCCTGGTCACACAGATACGGAGCTGGAACTAGAACACATGACTCCTGATCTCTGTTCATGCTCCTTGCAGTGCCCCACAGCCAAGTGAAGAAATACAGCCATTCTTTGAAGCTTCTCTAATTTCTTCTATGACAGCGGCCAACAAACATCTTTTTGTGAAGAGTCATCGTGATAGTAAACAGTTTAGGCTTTGTGGGCCATATGTCTCTATCACAACTACTCAACCCTGCCATGGTAGTGTGAAA